ATCAGCTTCTGTACAATCAACTTGTCGGGTTTTTCCCAATTGATCAATGCCGCCGGCTAAAGCTGACAGCACTGATCAATGTATTCTGATGGCGGGAAGCCTCCCTGCTGTCAGAATTCAAAGGCACAGCAGGAAGAATGAATAATGTATGGGCTGCCTTAGGCAGGTAGAAGATTAGGAGCTGGATGTCTACAGGTCTCAGGCAGGTGAGGAGTTAGGAGTTGGATGTGTAAAGGTCTCAGGGTAGAGAGGGGGAAAGAGCTGAATGTCTTAAGCAGGCCATAGATGATGCAATTTTCTTTTCTGCAACCAGTGCTTAATTCCTCCATCAACACAGTCAGTGTTGATGAGGGGAATCCATCCGGGGGAGCTACGGTCTTCTCCCGGAGGGGGTGTGTGGAGAGCCAACCCTGCCGGGAGAACACAGTGGTTATTGCTAGCAGCTAAAGCCACTGGCACTATTCGCATGGTAGAACTCCGACACACTGGTTATACCCAAGGTGATCAATGGATTGACTTGGGTACAACCAGCCAACCCATGCATGGATCGAGTCTTGGCCGTTGCCTGCTGAACCGGCCAAGATTCGAATCATCAGAGGTTAAGAGGGACAGGTTTACGGATCTCTAGTAGGAGAAGGGTTAGAAGATGGACGTCTACAGATTTTAGGAAGGAGAAGGGTTAGGACGTCTACAGCTCTATGGAAAGAAAAAGGTTAACTGGCTTTATGTAGAGCTGTTGCAGGAAGAGGAGACGTCTCTCTTTCTTACTCTCTCGCTTTCTTTCTCTCACTTTCTCGCTCTCTCTCTCTCTTTCCTTCTCACTCTCTCATTTTCTTTCTCTCTCGTTCTCACGCTCTCACTTTCTTTCTCTCTCTTTCTCTGTCTCTTTTTTTCATTCTCTTCCTCGTGCTTTCTTTCTCTCTCTCTCTCTCTCTCTCTCTTTCTCTCAGGTTGAATTAGGAGTCATGAAGTTTCCTGTGTCTAAGGGATGAGATTCTCCATCCAGGCTCACTTCTCTCCTCCTCCCCCCCTCCTGGTGAATAACAGCGGGATCACTAAATAGCACTTTTGTTAGGAAAGAATTCTGAGGACAGATGGAGAAGTAAGAAGAGAGGGAGAAAGAGTCATAAAGGAGGGGTGACAGAGAGGGGGGCTCCAGGGAGAAGAGAGGACTGAGGAGATCTGAGGGAAGAAGGAGAGGGATGGAGCAAGAATAGACAGAGCAGGAGGACTAAGAAGAGAGACAGAGGAGATAGAGAGGGTCAGAGACGGGGTGGAGAAGGAGGGATAGAGACAGAGGGGGAGGGAGGGAGAGAGAAGAGAAAACTAGGGAAAGAAGAGGACTAGAGGAGGAAATGGGACACAGATGAGGAGAACAAAGACCATCAGAGGAGCACAGAGAGCAGACAGAAACTTCTGAGTCAATGAATGGACGCACACACAGGCGGTTAGACATACATCTATGACATGGCCTGTCTTCCCTACAAAGGGACTGCATGACAAGGGAGAGACAAAGGCCAAACAATGAGGGACATCCCATGAAGAGGACCGAAGGAGGACACAAGGTGCCAAACTTCCCGAATAAAGTGACAACCATCATCAGACACCCCACTACACCATCCAGACACGTGAGTACAACCAAAAGTGACCGGACCTACCAGACGAGATAGATAGATAGATAGATAGATAGATAATACTGTAGATAGTTAGCAAAATTAATCGACTGATAGAATAAAGATAGATAGATAGATAGATAATAGTTAATTGGATAGATACGTAGATAGATAAATAACAAGATACATAAATATGTAAATGATAGATAGATAGATAGATACATAGATATTAGTTGGATAGATAGATAGATAGATAATACTGTAGATAGTTAGCAAAATAAATAGATTGATAGAATAAAGATAGATGGATGGATGGATAGATAGATAGATACGTAGATCATTTCAGGAATCACGAAAAAAGCATTCTAGTGTGAATGGAGTTTTATTGGCCTACGTCAATATCTATCTATCTATCTATCTATCTATCTATCTATCTATCTATCTATCTATCTCCTATCTATCTATCTATCTATCTATCTATCTATCACTAAGGGGGTTAAAACAGGAGCTGAAGAAGTGACCAATTGCCTTCCAGCCACCTGCCAGCCATGGTAGAGATTGCCACAAGTGCAAATGAGCCCCTAGGCTGTTTCACACCTGATTTGTTGGTGTCTTCAGGTGTTGTTGTACATTTTGTCTGTGTATATGCGAAGTTTAGAAGTGTATTTGAAGAGTTTTACATTGTTACATTCAAGTGTCATGTGTGTTTTTGTTTAACCAATGGAAAGTGCTGTGGGAGGAGATCCTTTCTTACAGGCTAAAAAAACTCTAGGAAAAAAAAAAGCTTTCCCATTTAAGGCTATGGAGCCAAAAACTCCCTAATTGCATCAAAAGTAGTTTATGTAGCTTTTGAAGTGTCAGGCATCAACTTACAGGAACCTGAATGCTTATATGTGATCGGCCACCGTGGAAATACATGGGATTTAGGATTCTGAGTGTTTTCATGTTCTCCTTGCTGGAGGCTCTGACATGAGGAAGGAAAGCTCTGCCGCTACCAAGATGGCCGCCTTCACACAGACACAGAACAGAAGAAGGCATCGAGGGTGCTAATGAGGAAAGTTAGCTGTTTGCACTTAGCATGGAAACATAAATCTTACCCTAAGCCTAAACTTTATTTTCCCGGAGCCAACAAGGCAGCTTAATACGTATATGCTGCCATAGATTGCTGCCAGGAAAGGAAAATAAGGGGAACTATTTGATATAATTTTCAGTTATTATGTAAAAATATTATGCTAAAAAAATATGTAAAAACATTTTTAACCTGCCAAGATTCTGGTGCTTAAATTCAATTATTTTGGCTAGATAGACAGACAGATCTGTGTTTTTTTCTCATCCTACCTGTGACCTTACAGAATGTAGGGATGACATTTCCTCCATGTCTTGTATCTGTCTGTGCTGTGCTATGGAAGTATTGCTGGATAAAATGACATTTAGCTGTGATGCAACACATGGGGAAGTAGAGATCTCTCCGTGCACAGAGCAATAAAAGAATTGTCCGTATCCCAGTTCCTGCATCTGTCATCATAAACTTTTACATAGTGACCTAGTATAGGCATTGGGACAATGTTACCATCCAGGTGAAATGTACTCCACTTCTATCACCAGAAAAACTTCTCATCCAACCAACTGGTTATCTATCTAAGTAATTTTAACTCTGCATTTCTCTCTTTTATACATATATATCTGTCTATGTCTGTCTGCATTTCTCTCTTTATACATATATGTCCGTCTGTCTATCTATCCATCCATCCAGTTATCTATCCATTTCATTATCTATCTCTATTTTAGCTATCTGTTTTGATATCTAATAATAATAAGTAATTTTAACTCTGCATCTATCTATCTCTGTCTATTTATCTATCTATCTATCTATCTATCTTGATATATCTAACTATCTATCTATCTATCTATCATCCATCTAATGTATTTATCTAGTATTATTTATCTATGTCTAGTATACATCTATTTATTTATCTATTTATCTATCTATCTATCTATCTATTTATCTATTAAGTAATTTTAACTCTACATTTCTCTCTTTATACATATATGTCTGTCTGTCTGTTATCTATCTATTTCATTATCTATCTTTTTTATTTTAGCTATCTGGATATCTATCTATATCTATCTATCTATCTATCTATCTATCTATCTATCTATCTATCTATCTATCAATCTAATGTATTTACTAGTATCTATGTCTGTCTAGTATCCATCTATTAATTTATCTATTTATCTTGATATATCTATTTATTTTGGATCTATCGATCTTGATATATATATCTATCTTACTTATCTATCTAGTATCCTATCTATCTATCTATCTATCTATCTATCTATCTATCTATCTATCTATCTATCTAATTATCTACCTATTTATCTTGGTTTAATCTATCTATCTATCTATCTAGTATCCATCTACTAATTTATCTCCATCCATCTATTTATCTGTCTCTATGTATATCTCTATCTAGATAGATGGATGGATGGATGGATGGATGGATAGATAGATAGATACGTAGATCATTTCAGGAATCACGAAAAAAGCATTCTAGTGTGAATGGAGTTATATTGGCCTACGTCAATATCTATATCTATCTATCTATCTATCTATCTATCTATCTATCTATCTATCTATCTATCTATCTATCTATCTATCTATCTATCTATCTATCTATCTATCTATCTATCTATCTATCGCAGTTACATCTGGAGTCAGTCTGATTGATGTAATGTTCTGGGGGAGATGGAGGTAAGATAAAAGGATGGTAATAAACTTTAAGTAAGCTCAGTGAGGATTGTAGGGTGGTGGTGAGCTGTATTGGACTTGCTTGGACTCGCACACACTTGATACCAAAGGTGCAGCCAGTCCCATCCTTTCTAATATGGAGATACCTAATACTTTTCCTTAAAAAATTACTAAACACACAACAGTAAAATCAGTCTGTAGATGCAGTAAAGCATGCTTGATATCCTCACTTTGGAACCTAAGGGGTTTATTCTCTGCATTGTGTAAAAAGGATGTTTGATCCTGACTTCTCTGATTCTCCCCTTCTTCCACATTCCCCATTTCATCTCCTGATAGAACACAGCCTTGGGGACACTCTGCACATGCTCGGTTTGGTGTGTACTGCTAGAGAGTTATTTTTTTTTCTGGGAAAGTGCATGTGACCAGCATAGGGCCAATCAGCACTGTCCAGACAGAGGGTCAGGGGTTATGCAATTTTATAGGGTAGTGAGAGAATGAAAACGCCTCCTACAAGCTTTAACCAGTGCTCAGCTGAACACTGATAGAAGTCACAAGACTGCTATATACTGCTGATGAGAAAAGGTATTTAGCAGCTTATATTTACTAAAATAATTGCATTTCCATGTTGTGTGTACTGTGGGGGAGCAGATATAGTGACTGCAGGGTCCAGAGAAAGCAGATATAGTGAATGCAGGGTCCTGGGAGACCGGATATAGTGAATGCAGGGTCCGGGGAGACCAGATATAGTGAATGCAGGGTCCTGGGAGACCGGATATAGTGAATGCAGGGTCCTGGGAGACCGGATATAGTGAATGCAGGGTTCGGGGAGACCGGATATAGTGAATGCAGGGTCCTGGGAGACCAGATATAGTGAATGCAGGGTCCTGGGAGAGCAGATATAGTGAATGCAGGGTTCGGGGAGACCGGATATAGTGAATGCAGGGTCCTCGGGAGACCAGATATAGTGAATGCAGGGTCCGGGGAGAGCAGATATAGTGAATGCAGGGTCCGGGGAGAGCAGATATAGTGAAGGTATGGTCCGGGGAGAGAAGATATAGTGACTGCAGGGTCCATGGAGAGCATATATAGTAAATGCAGGGTCCGGAGAGACCAGATATAGTAAATGCAGGGTCCTGGGGAGACCAGATATAGTGAATGCAGGGTCCGGGGAGATCAGATATAGTGAAAGCAGGGTCAGGAGAGATCGGATATAGTGAATGCAGGGTCCGTGGAGAGCAGATATAGTGAATGCAGGGTCCGGGGAGACCAGATATAGTGAATGAAGGGTCCGGGGAGACCAGATATAGTGAATGCAGGGTCCAGGGAGAGCATATATAGTGAATGCAGGGTCCGGGGAGACCAGATATAGTGAATGTATGGTCCGGGGAGAAGATATAGTGAATGCAGGGTCCATGGAGAGCATATATAGTAAATGCAGGGTCCGGAGAGACCAGATATAGTAAATGCAGGGTCCTGGGGAGACCAGATATAGTGAATGCAGGGTCCGGGGAGATCAGATATAGTGAAAGCAGGGTCAGGAGAGATCGGATATGGTGAATGCAGGGTCCGGGGAGACCAGATATAGTGAATGCAGGGTCCGGGGAGACCGGATATAGTGAATGCAGGGTCCGGGGAGACCGGATATAGTGAATGCAGGGTCCGGGGAGACCGGATATAGTGAATGCAGGGTCTGGGGAGACCGGATGTAGTGAATGCAGGGTCTGGGGAGACCGGATATAGTGAATGCAGGGTCCGGGGAGACCGGATATAGTGAATGCAGGGTCCGGGGAGACCGGATATAGTGAATGCAGGGTCCGGGGAGACCGGATATAGTGAATGCAGGGTCCGGGGAGACCGGATATAGTGAATGCAGGGTCTGGGGAGACCGGATATAGTGAATGCAAGGTCTGGGGAGACCGGATATAGTGAATGCAGGGTCTGGGGAGACCGGATATAGTGAATGCAGGGTCCGGATATAGGAATGCAGGGTCCGGGAGATCAGATATAGTGAATGCAGGGTCCTGGGGAGACCGGATATAGTGAATGCAGGGTCCGGGGAGACCAGATATAGTGAATTCAGGGTCTGGGAGACCAGATATAGTGAATGCAAGGTCTGGGGAGACCGGATATATTGAATACAGGGTCCGGGGAGACCAGATATAGTGAATGCAGGGTCCGGGGAGATCGGATATAGTGAATGCAGGGTCCGGGGAGATCGGATATAGTGAATGCAGGGTCCTGGGGAGACCGGATATAGTGAATGCAGGGTCCTGGGGAGACCGGATATAGTGAATGCAGGGTCCGGGGAGAGACCGGATATAGTGAATGCAGGGTCCGGGGAGACCGGATATAGTGAATGCAGGGTCCGGGGAGACCGGATATAGTGAATGCAGGGTCCGGGGGAGACCAGATATAGTGAATGCAGGGTACTGGGGAGACCAGATATAGTGAATGCAGGGTCCAGGGAGACCGGATATAGTGAATGCAGGGTCCGGTTAGACCGGATATAGTGAATGCAGGGTCCGGGGAGTGAATGCAGGGTCCGGGAGATATAGTGAATGCAGGGTACTGGGGAGACCAGATATAGTGAATGCAGGGTCCAGGGAGACCGGATATAGTGAATGCAGGGTCCGGTTAGACCGGATATAGTGAATGCAGGGTCCGGTTAGACCGGATATAGTGAATGCAGGGTCCGGGAGATTGGATATAGTGAATGCAGGGTCCAGGGAGACCGGATATAATGAATGCAGGGTCCGGGGAGACCGGATATAGTGAATGCAGGGTCCGGGAGACCAGATGTAGTGAATGCAGGGTCCGGGGAGAGCAGATGTAGTGAATGCAGGGTCCGGGGAGAGCAGATATAGTGAATGCAGGGTCGGGGAGAGCAGATATAGGAGACCGGGGAGAGATATAGTGAATGCAGGGTCCGGGGAGACCAGATATAGTGAATGCAGGGTCCTGGGGAGAGCAGATATGTGAATGCAGGGTCCGGGGAGAGTGGATATAGTGAATGCAGGGTCCGGGGAGAGCGGATATAGTGAATGCAGGGTCGGGGAGAGCAGATATAGTGAAGCAGGGCGGGGAGAGCAGATATAGTGAATGCAGGGTCCGGGGAGAGCAGATATAGTGAATGCAGGGTCCTGGGGAGACCAGATATAGTGACTGCAGGGTCCGGGGTTTAGGAACACTTTAAGCTTTGTAAAAAGATCTGATTGGTTTCTATGCAGAGCTGCACCAGATTTTGTCTCTCGTTTTAAGCAACATCAATGTGACTGGTTCTCTTTAACACGTTGCTGGACTTTCTGTGGTTGTACCGGAGTGATGCCTGCAGCTGCAAGCATCACCCCAGTACAGTTTTTTAGGCAGTCATTTCTCTTGTACAAGCAATTGGAGCGGATACTAGCTGGTTGGCCGGACAGCCGAACATATCCGAAATCGGCTTTGATCGTCTCGCCTTTATTGTAAACTGGAAGCGATGGCCTGATATCACTTCCACTTTACTCGGAAACTTTCCGCCATTTTTAAAAATCTGAAAGCATTAAAGAAACATCGATCTTGGTGTTTTGAATGCTTTCAAGGGCAGAGGAGGGATTTGGGGACTTTAAGACCCCAGATCCATTAATAAAAAAACCCGTCACGTGTCTATTGCGGTCAGAGGATGTTTACATTCCTTGTGACAGCAATAAAAGTGATAAAAAAAAAAATTCAAGTGACAGTGTAAAAAAAATTAGTCCTCCCCATGCTAGCACACAAAGGCGAACGTATGCGTTGGTCCCACACGCACACAGAAAGCAATCGTCCCACATATGTGAAGTATCGTCGCAATCACCAGATCATAGGCAGTAATTCTAGCACTAGACCTCCTCTGTAAATCAAAATTGGTTACCTGTAAAGGCTTTTAAAGCTTAGCCTACGAATAGTAAAATTTATGCCGTTTATCGCCGTTGCATGGGCGTGCACAGTTTTAAATCGTGACATATTTGGTATCTATTTACTCGGCGTAACATTACCTGTCATGTTTTACAAAAAAAATTGGGTTCTGTATTGTGGGGTTTTTTTTGCAATAAAATAAAAGAAAACCCTATTTTTTCACAAAAACTGCATTTGAAAAATCACTGTGCAAATACTGTGTGACATAAAAAAATGCAAAAACCATCAATTTATTCTCTAGGGCTCCTGCTTTAAAATAAATGTACAATGTTTGTGGGTTTCAAGAAATTTTCTAGCAAAAATTACTGATTTTAAAATGTAAACAAAAAAGTGCTAAAAATGGCTTGGGGCTAAAGTGGTTAGAGACCTCAGGGGTCTTTTAGGCCCCTGATACCTCACTTGCCCTCTATTAAAACTAATGGAGCACAGTTCGAGCTTCATTAGCATCTTCTCTGGTCACAGCGGCTGGGGAAAGTGACACCTGAAATCAGAAGTGAATCCAGATAATAGAAGTCACGTCGCTTCCGTGATATTTGTGCTTTGCAGGAGTGTGTGTAAAGCCAACAAAAGGGTCAAAGTAGAACTATAGGCAAAACTTATTTTTTTTCCCTACTTTGGATTGAGTAAAGAAGTGTCATAACCCCTGTCAGTTTTTTCGCCATTTGTGTCCCATTGAAGGGATTTCTCTTCAGTTCCTGTTCCATAACCAAAACAGGAAGTGAGAAATAATCCCAGCAAATTTACTGCTTCCCGTCCACCCTATAGCAGAAATACTGCTACAGGGCGGCACAGATGTGCAAAATCACATAAATATTATATATACACGTGATTTTGCAGTTCCGGGTAGGGGCCTACCCCCACCGCCATTTAGGCTATCAATCACTGGGTCCCAGCCGGTAATTATTCGCCGGCTCCCAGTGATTTCCAATGATCACTGACGGGCAGGACTGTTTTGTTTACTAACAGTCCTCCCTGTCAGCTCTGGCACACTACTCAGGATGGCTGTGCACAGCCATCCCGATCAGTGTACTTACAGTGAAGCACCAACACACTGCCCCCTAGTAAAACACTCCCTGCACACAGTTAACCCTTTGATCGCCCCTCATGTTAACCCCTTCCTGCCCAGAGCCATTAGTACAGTGTCACAGCTTTTTTTTAGCACTAATCACTGTATTGGTGTCACTGGGGATGTCAGTGACACCAAGTCAGTTCCCCCCCCCCAGTGTCAGAATGCCCGTCGCAGTCCCGCTATAAGTTGCTGATCGCCGCCATTACTAGCTGAAAAAAAAAAATTCCAGTATCTTTATTGTCATTTGTAAATGCTATAACTTTCACGTAAATTAATTAATTTACACGTATTGGGATTTTTTTTTAGCAAAGACATGGAGCAGAATACATTTTGGCCTAAATTTATGACGAAATTTGATTTTTAAAATTTTTTTACTGGACAAAAAGTCAAAAATATTGGGTTTTTTCTCTTTTTTTATAGCACAAAAAAATTAAAAATGCACAGACGATCAAATACTACCGAAAGAAAGCTCGATTCGTGGGGAATAAATTTGGGTGCAGCGTTGCATGATTGCACAATTGTCAGTTAAGTAAGGCAGCGCTGTAATGCAAAAAATGGCCTGGTCAGGAAGGGGGGGGAATCCTCAGGTGGGCAGGTGGTTAAGGGAATCCCCAGGTCACCAGAACTAGTGTCCCTGATGGAAGATTTCCCCACTGCTTCTTTTCTGGGGACTACCAAACATTGGGTATTTTTCTTCCTTTCACTTTCAATGATAATGGTAAACAGGACAAATAAAGAGGGTGAGTCTCCTTAATGGGGCACAGACAGCAATAAATTTTGTTCTGTCTCTCCAATCTAAGCATTGAAAGTGTGATCTCTGTAACTGATGAGATAGCGATAACTCCAATCTTAGTTGAATAACACAGGCAGTGACTTGATCAGATGACACCTTATAGATCTTGTGAAGTTTATTCCATAAACTGAGAGAATCTTACAACAATGAACATTGGATAGGTCAAAAGATCATAATGTGATCTGCTTCAATAAGACATGAGGCTTGAAGCTGAAATTCCTTACTGGGAAAAGGGGTGGGGCTATCTATACAGCATGAACTAAACCAGAGGAAAGGGAGGAGCAGAGACAAATACAGAGAACACTTAAAGGCATACGACAGACATGTGAAACATGAGAAATACTGATAAGGGGTCTAATCCATCTCCACACTATCCAAAACTAAAGAAAAAGAAAAAAAGGTTTTGCGTTTAGTTGTACTTCAAGTCATGGAGCGTACTGCATGTTCATACAAGCATTCATTCAGAAACCAGTTAGCGTAGGGCCAGCTTTTTTTGCTTTTAGGTAGCTAGCTAGTTATCAGTTCAGTGAAGGGTGAAGTTACCCATCAGAATGCTGCCATGCAGGAAAGGAAGATGCCCGATAGGTAATAATACAATTTTTGGTTATTTCCACTAGTTGCATTTTAAGGCAATCACATATACACTATATTGCCAAATGTATTGGGCCCGCCCTTCAAATCATGTGATTCAGGTGTTCCAATCACATCCATGGCCATAGGTGTATACAATCAAGCACCTAGGCATGCAGACTGCTTCTACAAACACTTGTGAAAGAATGGGTCGCTCTCAGGAGCTCAGTGACTCCAAGCGTGGTCCTGTGATAGTGGCCACCTGTGCAATAAGTCCATCCGTGACATTTCCTGGCTACTAAATATTCCACGCTCAACTGTTAGTGGGATTATAACAAAGTGGAAGCAACTGGGAACAATAGCAACTCAGCCACCAAGTGGTAGGCCACGTAAAATGACAGAGCAGGGTCAGCGCATGCTGAGGCGCACAGTGCGCAGAAGTCGCCAACTGTCTCCAGAGTCAATAGCTAAAGACCTCCAAACTTCATGTGGCCTTCAGATTAGCACAACAACAGTGTGTAGA